TCTGCCAGTGCTTTAACTGTAAAAGAAGAAGCAGGAGGAGGAAGGGATAGATAAGATTAAATACGGCAGTAGTTTATTGGTGATTGAGCTTTCTTTTACATGATTGAAGAAGATTGACATGTGGAACCAGGCTTTGAATGCTGTCCATTCAGTGGACCACTGTTAATTAATGATGGGACAAATAGGATTAGAGTAACATATTGAGCTCCATATGCTCTCTCTGTAGGAGCAACGGAGGCAGTTTCTCTCTAAGTTGATATCAAAGGCATTGCTGTTGTCCTGCTTGCATATGATTGTGTCTTCAGTTCTGTAGGATCTGCCATCCCTGTGGGCATTGATGTGCAGGTGGAGAGTATAGACAGCATCTCTGAAGTAAACATGGTAAAAGTCCACATTCTCTTTTTATATAAATATAGCATGATGGTTCTGGTTCTTTAACAGTTCCATTAATGATTCTTAGTATATATTGAATAAATACTTGGAACTAAGACATTATGAGATTATTTCAATAATCTGAATACAAACCAGTTCTCAGCACAAAATTCAATAAAATGTTGGTCTTCTAAAAGCAGGCCTTTGGCTTCCTACAAAGTAAATCTCAGCAATATAAAAGGTCTTCCTGGTATATGTCAAAACCATTTTTTTTTGCACCAAAATGCCAGTAACTGCTCTTCACTGTTGCCCTTAATAAATTGTCATGTTTATCTATAAGGTCAGTAAAATCTAAAGGTCTCTTGCAGGACTTTACGATGACCCTATACCTGAGGCATTATTGGAAGGATGAACGGTTGGCATTTCCCTCCAGTAACAATCTGAGCCGCACATTTGACGGCCGGCTGGTAAAGAAGATCTGGAAGCCTGATGTCTTTTTCGTCCATTCCAAGCGCTCCTTCATCCATGATACCACCATGGAGAACGTAATGCTGAGGGTTTACCCAGACGGCAACATCCTTTACAGCGTCAGGTAGATGCCTGCAACCTCTGATGATTCATTTCCTTCATATGTAATGTTTTAATAATGGAATATTCTCTTGATTGTAGGATTACAGTTACTTCTCTCTGCTCAATGGACTTCAGCAGATTCCCACTGGACTCTCAAAACTGTTCCCTGGAATTGGAGAGCTGTGCGTGTCCACCTAGAAACATCTTCAGTTCTAGTGTAATTTAAACTTGCAGCTTTTTGACACCATTTAGACAGTAAAATAATGGTAATGGAAAGGTGCTTACAATGGAAGTATATGAAGTAATGAAATAAATGTTCGAATATGCACTGTTGCGAAAGTATAGCAGCAAGTTACATACAGTATGTTAGCATGAGACATTTTTTTTTTTCTGTCATGTGAAGCCTGTAAACCAAGCAACCTTTCACTTTTAATTCGATTTTATCAAACAATTAGATGTTTATTTGCCTAGAAAAAGGTATTTCCACTCCAAAAATGATGATTTATGACTTTACAAATTTACAAGATGATACACATAATAGCAGTAAAGTCATTGTGAGTTGCTATTTGCAACCTATTTCTTCACATAATGTGACATAAAACTGAGTGAAACAGGATATTTATCAAGAAAAATGCAAACTGGAAATCAATTAAATCATTAAACGTGGAAGTTACTTAGTGTTATTTTAGTATTATTTATGTACTATTATTATATTTATAAATATATGGAATTAGCTTTTATTTCATTTTTGGTTTTCATTTTTTTAATTTTAGTTTTAGTAATTTTATGTGCTTTTGCCATTTTTTATTTTATTTAAATCTTTTTCAATAGTTTAAGTTCATGACAACAACACTGTTACTTACTAGAGCAAATGTTAGCGTTTTAAAATTACATCTAAAAATAGCTTTATTTATCCAGGCTACTTTTAAACCCATGGAGTACATGGACCCATTTAATTTTATTGTATGTGCCTTGCTACAACTGCCTATTTTGAATCAGATGAGGACTGATTTGAAATGATTTTCTTCAGGAACCAACAATATGCCACAAATGCCGTTTGAATCCAGAACATTGATAAAATGGTGCCATAATAGCACACTTCAAGTTATCCATGTATATAAACACAACTTGAACAGGCACACTATCTTTTGCCTGTTTTCTTTATCTTTTGGCTTCTCTCCTGTATCCCATTAAGATGCATATGCTGAGAGCGACCTCATGCTGTACTGGAAAAATGGCAATGACTCTTTGAGGACAGATGAGATTGCTCTCTCTCAGTTCTTCATTGAAGAGTTTCACCCCTCACATGGTCTGGCACTGTACAGCAGCACGGGTATGGCACACTTTTCTCTCTCTCCTTCTGTGTATTCGTGCTATGACAAATCTTATCTCTTTGTCCTGTTTGGTACCAGTAGGTCATTAATTCCTGACTTTACACGCGTTTCTGTCAGGCTGGTACAATAGGCTCTACATCAACTTCATCCTCAGAAGACACATATTCTTCTTTATGCTGCAAACATATTTTCCTACAATGCTGATGGTTGTGCTGTCCTGGGTGTCTTTTTGGATTGACAGGCGGGCGGTACCGGCCCGTGTCTCGCTTGGTGCGTAACACCTATCCACACACATGCAAAAACGGCTCAAAAATGGTTCTTCTATTGTATCTCTGTGAAAACCCCCTTTTGGAAATTTTATTTTAATGTTGTTGGACTGCAACCCTGTGTGGTGTAGATTTAGGTTGCTTAGTTGTCTCGTTGCTTAACAAAGTCGTAATGTTTTTCCGCAGACAATAAGAAACAAGCCTGCATAAATGTGATTTAGCCAAGTAGGACATGGTCCTGGTTTAACATCAACAGAAAACGCATTTGTCACTCTCATTTATAATCAAACTATGTGTGAGTGCGACCATATTTTTCACACTAAAACAGTACTGACATGCATAATTTGCTGCTGTGTGAACATAGCCTATTTATGCGGCTTCACACTGTGTAGCTCCACCCATTATGAAATCTCACTGGTCCAAAATCCTGCAAAATGTGTTCTGATTAGCTGTGATTTTTAGTGATCGTGTCACAGAAGTTTCACAATTTTTTTTCTTTTATACTCGCTGGAAACCCTAGCCTGACATCTGATTGGTTGGGAAGAATCAACAAGTATGTTGATCTAGACAGCACTGCATTTTGTAACTTTGTAAATCAGTCTAAAATTGTGGTCACATTAGCGAAGTTTCCTGGGCTAAAAATGTCTGTTGTCTAGTGCCAATTGTGTAATGATGTTTAAAAGCATAGCTCACACAGAAGTCACTTTCAAGCATCTTTCTGTTGGTCAACGTGGCCAAAAGAACCCATGGTGAACTCTGTGAGGAAATCTTTTGCCCTATCGAAAAATTCCCACTTGTGTGGATTCTTACTGAAATGACTAGAGTTCAGCCTCCGAACTGGATTTCAGTTAGCTGAACAATGATAAATGTGACTGCATCAGAGTATAGTCAGTGTGTCTCTCTGCATGTGTGTTCAATCCAGGCATCACTACAGTGTTGACTATGTCCACCATAATTACGGGAGTGTCAGCGTCCATGCCTCAGGTATCATATGTGAAAGCGGTGGACATCTATTTGTGGACCAGCTTCCTGTTTGTGTTTCAGTCCGTCATCGAGTACGCAGCCGTCAACTACTTCACTACTAAGGAGGAAATGAAGAAACTCGAGCAATTGAAGGTCAAAGTTCTCTTAAACATTCTTAATTCATTCACTCTAAACTTGATACAAATTTTCAGCATTTTCTCTACATTCCAGGAAATTTTTATTTTGAAATGTCGCCCCCTGTTGATCAAATATTGTAATAGATCAATCAATTCTTTAAAATGGACTTAAGACAGCATAAAAATGCTTTTTAAACCAGATCTATTTTTGTCCACACTGTTAAGTTCTAAATAGACAAAAAAGATCCATATTGTTCATGTGCTATGTAATTATTAACCTATATGATAGCTGTCTGTAAATGGAACAAAATTCCAGTGATTATTCATGGGTAATCTTGATTTAAATAATTAAAATCTCCATTGTTGATCTCAAATCAAATATGGCCCTTGTGGACCTCAATAACATCAAATGTCAATGGACCTTGATCATCAAACCTCTGCCATAGGCATTATTTTTTTATTTTAGAGCAAGTTTTAGTGCACTATTTCTTTAATCTCCAATATGTTGTACTTTAAATAATCTTACCAAATAAATTCCAGAAAAAGTGAATTGTGTTTGCCTTCTACAGCTCTCGGGATACGATGCATCTCAAGCCATGGCGTTCGATGGCTGTTTCCATGACCAGGACATAGAGCTCAGCACATTTCCATTGTCTGACCTAAACACAGACCCATGCATGTCCTCCAGGAACTCCACAACGCCCGACCTCCCTCCCGTCCTGGGCACGCGCCTCCGTCGGTGGCGTTCTATCCGCCAAAGCGTCAACCATATCATGAACAACAGTTACAAGATCGACTCCTATTCCAGAATATTCTTTCCTTTGGCATACTTCCTCTTCAATATCATCTACTGGAGCATCTACTCCTAAGCGAGAGAATGTCATCCAGAAAACTGGCCTGCTCTGAGTTTATAAGACTCTCATAAACTTGATTGCTTGAATGTGATCACATCCAAACTCTCACACACACAGAAACTGTATCACAGACAAAAGGTATAATAAATTATTTATTATGTTAGAATCTCAGATTCCTAACTCTGCCTAAAATGTACAAGTGTGAAATTATCATAAATTCATAAAACTACATAATTGTAACATGATAAATCATATTACTTTTTTGGCTACACAGAACCCTTATACTACTCAAAAATAATTTCAGACAAATGCTGTTTTACACAGTACACAGAAAGCAAATTAGATTACATGTAACAAATTTTTAGATACATTAGCATATTAATTAAAATTTTCCTCTTTATGTAAGAACTACAAAACTGAGAGGGACTATAAAATGTGAAAAAATAAAAAATAAAATAAACAACTGTATGGAGAACATATCTCAGTCTTTCTACAACACGTCTGACAGATATATATGGTTTCTAAGACAGAATTTTTTCCTTCATTTTAAATGTAGTCCATCAATTATAAAACCTTTATTAAGTACCATTTGATGCACTTGCATCATCTGAGTTTTATTTATTTATTTATTGCAGAAGAGGTGTTTAATACTGTTTGCTGAAAATATATAGGAGTTTAAAACCCCAAAAGCATAATATACCTCACTCCTCAGTACATAGAGATATTTTTACACATCGACTCCCATAGGTACATGCTCTTGCTATTTATTACTCAGCTGTGAGCAGCCCAGTTCAATAACAAATAACAAAATGTCTGGCTATAAAGCTAAATGCTGAAAGCTTTATGGCATGTAACATTGATTCAGACAAACGGATGAGAAAAGACATTTTGAGCTGAGTCATTAGATTCTCATCTTGGTAATACATTTTTTTTTCAGGCCTGATAGAAACATAATATTAAATGGTCTGTTTCTTCACCTATTTTCCTGTCTGCGTTTATAATCCTTTTCTAAAAACTATTCAGATCTGAGTCGTGAACGGATTTGACTGTTCATCTCATTGAAGATCACATCGTCATTTGCTTCTCCTGACATGATCACACTGTCATCCACCGGTGAGCCTTTAATGTGAAATTACAGGGTTAAGAACATTCCTGACTTGTATAAAATGCATTTGTAAATTTTTTTTTTTCATCAGAACTGACCGATGCCTTGGGACGGCACTGAGTCATCGCTGCTCACTGAGCTTCGCGGTACACTGAGGGTCCCTGAATCTGCCGTCATGATCGAAGTCTTTTTAGTGTGGTTGCTCTGTGTGGCTGTCCGACTCCACTCTGTGGATAAAACATTTGAGAGATTGAGAGGAGACGCCTATAAAATATCTATTAAAGTTAACATGCAGCTATTTGTATTGGTTAATAATGTGGCGGTACCTGAATTTTCAGCCAATCGTAAACTGCCACAACAGAGGTACATTCTCCACTGTTTACGGACATTTTCCTTCAGAGCGCAGTGGAAAACAAAAATAAAAAAGCCTGAGAGAGAATGAGAACAAGAAAAAAATACCCTTTTTTAAATCAAGCGATCAAGGTAGTTGAATTATTACATTGAATTTATTTTTATTTTTTTTTACTTTTTGCATAAAACAAAATACATAACATTGTTTCTTACCCTGTAGGGAATTAAAGATGGCAAACAGGTACGTAAAGGCCAAATTGACCGGTCCCCAGGCGAAGAAGGCGAAGCCCCATGTGAGCCCGAGCAGGAAAGTAAGTCCCGCGATGCTACGAAGGTCATGCAAGCCGCTGCGGTACTGATTATTGTGAGGGTTTCTGCGCTTGATTCGTCTCAGATGGATCATCACCACCACAAACATGGCCAGGTTCAACACAAATATGACGCAGAAGTACGCCACAACAGCCACATAGAACGCTATGTTATTGTTCAGCCAACAACTAGAAGAGAGAAATATAGAAACATTAGGAGCGATGACATAATGAAGACTGATGCCTTTAAAGAGGCCACGAACTGAGAAACCAAAATTCCCTCGATCTTTTGACATATACTGTAAGAGGTCATTGTACTATAAAAACATCCTGTAAGTTTCAGAACCCAAAACTTTCTCATTAGTCTAAAAACAGCTTATATTGAATGCAGTCTGCCAAAACGACAGGTTGTGGAATGTGCCACTTTATGATGTAATAGTACTGCCTCCACAGAAGAAGATCAAAAAGGGCAGTTCATGACCCCTTTAAATGATGAGGTGAATACTTACAATTCATCTGTAGTTCCGTCAGAAAACTTCCCATAGCTTACGAGGCCATAGTTATCTTTGTTTACCGCAATCACAATAATGACGACAACCAAAGGGATTCCTGCAATAACACACATTACGAAATTACATCAGCAGTCATCTACAGCCACAAACCACACAGCTAATTTAACAGCTGAACTCACCCCAGCCTGCCAGGGAAAATTTTAGCATGTATCGGGACATGAAGTTGTTGAAGACTTTGACGATGGCCAGGTACATATGCAGAGCCTCCAGTCCCATCCAGGTGAAGGAGACCAACAGGAAGTAGTGCAGGAAGAAGGCTGTGGAAATGCACAGGCCTACAGCATCTTTGTACAGCGCCAGCCACGAGTCCAACAAGAAGACCAGGTTCAGCAAGAGCAGGCCGAAACTCAAATGGATCAAGATCTTTGAAGGGATGTCCCGGCGGAGTTTTCTGAAATGAAACAGAAGAAATGGGTAAATAGAGGTTCTTTGGGAATTCATTTCAGTTTACAGTTGAGAATAATTTTGTCACATTTTTAAGAGGTTTTTGAGGGGTCAATCGTGATTAATCAAATTTTAGGGCTTATAAACTCTGAGAGGGAGGATATTACTCACTCAAACGCGAGGTAGGTGATCAGAGTAACCGAGAGGAAGATGGCGGACACCCCACATCCGATATAAGTGATGAAGGTAAGGATGATGGCATGCAAAGGGTCAGATATGCCTTGCCGGCTAACGTCCTTTGAAGACAAAACAAGTTGCAAAATGATTAATGAAAACATTATAGAACAATCCCAGAAATGTGTAATGCATAGCTAACTCAGGGCTCAAAAATAAGGATGGCCAGTTGATTTAAATACATTTTTGTATAAATTTTACATGAATAAATTAGTTTATTTATTTATGTAAATTGTTATTTTAGGGTTAGTAAGATATTTTTCTGAAAGAAAATTTTTTTTTTCACCAAGAATAAATCAACATTGACTGTAGTAATGCAAAAGATTTTTATTTCAAATAAGCTCTGTTCTTTTTAACCTTTCTATTCAAACAATCCTGAAAAAAAAATCAAATTTCCAACACTGTTTTCAACATTGATAATAATAATAAATGTGTCTTGAGCACCAAATCAGCATTTTAGAATGATTTCTGAAGGATCATGTGACACTGAAGACTGGAGTAATGATGCTGAAAATTCAGCTGTGCCATCACATGAATAAATTACCTATATTAAAATTAAAAAAAAAGTTATTTAAATAGTAATAATATTTCACAATATCTGGTTTTACGGTAGTTTTGATCAAATAAAGGCATGGCACAGCTGGAACGGCAGGCCTCGTAGTGACTGTTGTTGAGTTGCTTTTGCTAGTCGTTGGAGTTGGAGCAATAATTGGAGCTTCTGTTGTGGAAGTGGAGCTGTTCTGAGGAGAGCTTGGGTGTATCACTGATGGAGCAGTTGTGGGAGCTGTACTGCTATTTGTGACAATGCTAATAACAATGGTCGTATTTGTTGGTATGTTGTTTGGAATGTTAATTGGGTTGATTGTTGTAGTTGTGTTAGTGATTATATTTTCAGTAAAGGCATTTTCTATTGTGCTATTTGACTGTGTTGTGTTAAGAAGACTAACTGTTGTGACAGGCTCTAAAGTGGAGTTGGTTGGCCCACTGGTAATATTTTCTGTTGTTGGAAAGGTTGTTGTATGCATCTGGGTTGTATTTGTGATGTCAAACTGTGTTGTATTAACTGTAGGGCTTACAGTTGTATTAAATTCCAATGTGTTATTGGAGGTCTCTGTTGAGTTGATGCTACGATTGACATCAGTCCCATTGAAATTGGTTTCATTCAGTGGCGCATCTGTTGTGTTAAACAAGGTTATGTTGATTGTAAAGGCTGTTGTATTTGATTGAGTTGTATTGAACAGGGAGTCTGTTGTGTTGGAATAAGGGACATCAGTTGTATTAAAAGTTGTGAAGTTAAGTGAATACATTGTAGTATTGAATTCAGGTGTATCTGTGGTGGTATCAGTTTCAGCATCTGTGGTCTCCTCCACTGTAGAATCATTCAGAAGTTGTGTTGTGTAATAAGGAATAGCTGTTGTATTGAATTCAGATGTACTGTTAAGAGGTTGAGTTGTATTTGATTCATTTACGTTACTTGGTGATTCTGTAGTGTGGGCTAGGCTTGTATTATTTGAGCGTGTTGCATTTTCAAATAGAGTGGTTGTGTTATATTGTGTAACATGTGGGTATTGTGTTGTGGTATTTAAGACAGAAGAGCTCACATTTGTTGTGTTTTTGTGGTTCGTAGTAATTTTAAGTGTTCCGTTAACTTCTGTCACATTAGGTATTGTTAAATCTGTCCTATTTTCTATGAGAGTTGTTACATTGTGAGTAAACAATGTAGTGTTAAATATTGTTGTATTGTCTTGCCCAGTAATGTTTAAATGTGTTGTGAATGTGGTGGTGTGTTGTGTAGTTTTTAATAGGGGTGTTGTTTCATTTAGGTGTAATGGTGCTGTCAAGTTAAACAGTGTTGTATTTGGCAGAAAGGTTGTGGTGGTGGTGGTGGTGGACACTGTGCCAGAGATTTGAGAATTACTTGTGTTAGATTGTGTCGCATTTTCCAGACTTTCGGATGTGAAAGCTGAGCTTGGAACTTTCACTGTTGTATTGAATGGTGTGACTGTTGTATGATGTAGTGCAGTTGAGATGAGTGGCATGGCAGTAGTAAAGTGAGGTGCGACTGTTGCATTTAATGGTCTAACTGTTGTAGTAAGAGTTTCACTTATCTGTGCTGTTGTATTGGGTGGTGTTGTTGTTTCCACCTCAGAAGGTGGTATGGCTGTTGAAATGAGTGGCATACCTGTTGTATTAAGTGGCGTGATTAATGTGTTGAGAGTTGTTGAAATTTTATCAAGTGTTGTGACTGTTGCAGCAGTTGTGTCAATTGATGTGGCTGTTGTACTGACTATAGGGGTTGTTGAACTGAGTCTTGTGACAGTTAGGTTGAGTGGTATGACTGTTGTATTGACTGGTGAATATGTTAAGTTTTGTACTGTAACTGTTGTATTGACTGGTGGGGTTGTTACATTGAGTGCTATATCTGTTGTACTGACCAATGAGGTTGTTATAATGGGTGTGCCTGTTGTGCTAACTGGTGCGGTTGTTATTTTAGGTGTTGTATTTGTTGCACTGATCGGTAATGGTGGTACATTATGTGGTGTAGTTGTTGTGTTGATTGTCGTTTCTGTTGTTTTGACTGGTGAGGTTGTTATATTATGTGGTGTACTTATTGTATGGACCAGTGAGGCTGTTACATTGAGTGTCGTATCTCTTGTACTGGCCGGTGAATTTGTTATATCGAATGTGGTTTCTGTTATTTTGGCTGTTATATTGTGTGTTGGATCTATTGTATGGACCAGTGAGGGTGTTATACTGTGTGCTGTATCTTTTGTACTGACCATTGTGGTTGTTGTATTGTGTGGTGTCCCTGCTGTACTGACCAGTGGGCTTGCTTCATTGAGTGTTGTATCTGTTGTATGGATCAGTGAGGTTGTTAAATTGAGTGTCGTTTCTGTTGTACTGACTGGTGAGGTTGTTGTATTGTATGGTGTACCTGTTGCGGTGACTGGTGGGATTATTATATTGTGTGTCATATTTGTTGTACTGATTGGTGATGTTGGTATATTGTTTGAGGTACCTGTTGTGCTGACTGGTGAGGTTGTTATATTGTGTGTTGTATCTGTTGTGCTGACTGGTGAGGTTGTTGTATTGTGTGTTGTACCTGTTGCGCTGACTGGTGGGATTATTTTATTGTGTGTCATATTTGTTGTACTGACTGGTGATGTTGGTATATTGTTTGAGGTACCTGTTGTGCTGACTGGTGAGGTTGTTATATTATGTGTTGTATCTGTTGTGCTGACTGGTGAGGTTGTTGTATTGTTTGATATACCTGTTGTACTGATTGCTAAATTGTGTGGCGTACCTGTTGTATGGGCATTTGAATTTGTTATATTGAGTGTCGATTCTGTACCTGTTGTTTTGACTGGTGAGTTTGCTATATTGTTTGATGTAGCTGTTGTGCTGACATGTGAGGTTGTTATATTGTGTGGTACTACATTGAGTGTTGTATGTTTTGTACTGACCATTGAGGTTGTTATTTTGTTTGTTGTATCGACTGGTTGAGTTGTTACATTGAGTGTTGTATGTGTTGTACTGACCACTGAGGTTGTTATTTTTTCTGTTGTATCTGCTGTATTGACCGGCTGGGCTGTTACATCAAGTGTTGTATGTGTTGTAGTGAGCACTGAAGTCATTATATTGTGTGTTGTATCTATTGTATTGACCAGTGGGGTTGTTTCATTGAGTGTTGTGTGAGTTGTACTGACCACTGAGGTTATATTGAGTCTTGTTTTGACTTGTGAAGTTGCTATATTGTATGGTGTACTTGTTGCACCGACTGTTGGGGGGACTGTTGTTGTTGATATATCATGTGCCGTATTTGTTGAACTGACTGGTGGGGTTGTTACATTGTATGTTGTACTTGTTGCGCTGACTGTTGGGGTTATTATATCATGTGTCGTAGTTGTTGTGCTGACTGGTGAGGTTGTTATATTGGGTGTCTTATTTGTTGTACTGACCAGTGATGCTGGTATATTGTTTGATGTACCTGTTGTACCGACAGGTGAGGTTGCTATATTGGGTGTTATATTTGTTGTACTGACCGATGATTCTGGTATATTGTTTGATGTACCTGTTGTACTGACAGGTGAGGTTGTTATATTGGGTGTCATATTTGCTGTACTGACCAATGATGCTGGTATATTGTTTGATGTACCTGTTGTATTGACAGGTGAAGTAATATTGTGTGTTGTACCCGTTGTGCTGACTGCTGGGGTTGTTATATTGTGTGTCGTTGTTGTTGTACTGACCAATGATGCTGGTATATTGTTTGATGTACCTGTTGTACTGACAGGTGAGGTTGTTGTATAGTGTGTTGTAACTGCTGTATTGCTCAGTTGAGGTGTTACACTGGATGTTTTATGTGTTGTACTGACCATTGAGGTTGATATATAGTGTGGTGTACTTGCTATATTGACCGGTGGTACTATATCACGTGTTGAATTGAGTGGCAGACTTGCTGTATAATTTGACACAGTGTTTGTTTGATTGCCTGTACTGTTGATGGATGTATTGAATATTAGACTTGTTGTATTGAGTGGTGTATTAGAAGTGTTTGTGACTAATGGTGTGGATGGTGTGACTGTTGGGAATGTAGCACTGCTCTCAGAACTTGTTCTTGGAGGGACAACTTGAGTTGTGTAGGACTCAGAAGGTGAGACTTCACAGCTCTCATTTAAAATAACAGCAAATGTCTGACCCTGTGCACTGGAAAACAAAGAGCAAGATTGGAATGTTTGTTTGGCAAAGGCTTTTGTTAGTCCTGAAACAACATTCTTGTCAAACAAACAATCCTAACCATTATATACTGCTAAAATGAGGAAATGATAGGTTGATAAGAATGTTGTTCAAAACATAAATCCAGTCCCAAGCCTGATTATACAGTAATATCTGATTGGTTAACAAGAATGCTGTTTCAGGACTAACACGGATGTTTGTCAGGACACATGCCCTACTTGGCAAAACCACATTAAATGGTTACGTTTACACTACCAACAGTTCTGATTTGCTTTTCAAAATTGTTCTTTAGGACTGATGTTTAATCATTAATAATTCAGGTTGGAATGTGGTTTGAATGTTTAATAAAAAATCTAATTTGGTTTGAATCTGATATCCAGAAATGTTGATTTTCAGTGTAAATATAGCCAGAGACATGGAAATATATTAACTGAAATTTGAATAATTGAAATTTGACACAAATGTGAAGTATGCACAGTGTCTAATATGAACTGAATACAAGATTTACCATTTCAAATGGTCTTTGATGTCATCAATGTGGCTGGAACTGAAATTTACAGACATCCAAGTGAATGTTGAGTTTAAAGGAATGGTTTCCGAATCAGTGGGCAAACGACATATGGCTGTATAGTAGAGAGATAGGGAAAAAAATTGCATTTTTACTGTTTACACCACTTGGATAAGCTTAGCTATAATTGGGGAATACCAGTACATACAGTTCAACACTCACCAATTTGACTGAGGGGTCCATCAAAACTAATGTTGGTACTGTCCTTCCAAAGAATGGCAATAGCAGTACTAACAGTACACACATCCAGCTGTTTTGACAGCTGCAGAGTTAACATACATGTGTAGAGCCTGAGGAATGACAGACAGGTTAAGCTGTCTGTAAATACACATAGACACACATAAACACACACGACAGTACAACTTGCCTCGTTCCTTCACCAAAACATTCCAAGTGCATTCCCTGCAAAGCATAAATCACAACCTTTTAGAGCAGATACAGAAAATAAGATTTGACCCACTTGTAACAAGATTATTTTACTGAAGATGGAAAACAAATGGATGTTTACCTGATACAACTGGGATACTTCAGTAAAAGAATTACACAGAGACCTATGAACATGAAACATGAAACATGATACACACACACACACACACACACAATATTTTGTTTTTTAGAACACTTTTTTTTCTCCCCCAGAAATCGTGATACAATTTCTCAGGATTCCTTGGTGGATAAACAGTTCAAAAGAACAGCATTTATTTGCAATAATTTTTTTTTAAACAAATTATAAACATCTTTACTGTCAGTACTGTCATACTTCTAATGTGTCCTTGATGGATGAAAGTATAAATTTCACTTTAAAAAAAATTACTGACCCCAAAATTTTGTATATATGTTTTTTTTTTTTACAGGAATTGCAGACATACCCTTGCATTCTGGATTCGTTGCAAGGAGTGCTCAGTTGTACAACCTATTGAATGAAACAATACAACTAATAAAACAATAATCATATTTTGTCATTCATTGAGGTAAGGTAACTTGCAAATATTTAGACAGCAATGTTTTGGTAAAACACTTACTATAGGCATTTTACCTGTTCGCAAAAACTTTTTCTCTAAAAACTCACCATGTTCTGAACATAGGTGAAATTCACATCTGGGCTTGCAATATTTAGACGAACAGCATAATATGTCTCTAAAGGAGAGGTAGGAGAGAGAACTTGGAGTCTGATTGGTCCATGACACATTCTTATACCTACTCTTTCATAGAATAATTATGTTCCACTCACCATTGTTGGTAGACACGTGACACTCACAATATTGTTGGTTCTCAACTAATAAAAAACAACAACCAAAATTTCATTTTTGAATATGATATTAGTCTGACTGGTATTAGTCAGAAAATGATGACCAAATAGTACTGTAAGTCCAAAGAGTAATAACACTCACCGTTGCAGGATTGATTAGCAACCAAGTCTTTAGGAATGAAACCATTCTCCTTATAAGAACTAATGCAAGAAAGAGAGAAAAATTTAATCAATAATACAATCGCACATAAACACTAAAAATGCCAGAACTAATTTAAGAGTGTGGCAAGTCAGTAGCATATTCTACCATGTGACATTGACAGGTCCCTGGGTCTTGCAGACATCATCATAAGACATTGGAGATGTGCAGTGCACAAAACCCCCTCCAGGGGGCGTAATATTGTGATCTGGGCACAGTCCTTTGCCTGTAAACAAATGCCATTCAGTGAGACTTCAAAAACAAACAATTAATCATGCATTATCTTAGAAACGGCTGTCTATTATTGTTATATGATCAATTGGATCACTTTTATTGTGCTTTTAAGGTGCTTTTTGTCATTTTGAAGCCTAACAGACCCAGTCTGCATTCACTTTCACGTTTGGAATAACAAATGGGTTAATTATGACAGAATTATGTGCTTGTCTCACTCACCCACTCTTTCTACATCTCCCAGAAGCTGGATTTGGATCGATGGGTTTATGGTCCAGTTTTGCACCAGCCTTCGGAGGATGCATGTATTCACAGGTTGGCTCAGCTGTAGTACCACAGTGCAATTTGTCCTTCTGTAAGAATGGGGGCAGTAGTAGCATTACTTGATATTGAATTTCAATGAGATCATAATTGTTGTGTAGCTTATAGAGTTAGGTTTGACTTACTGGATGTTCTGCTTGGCTTCACATCTAACCTCTGCAGTCTATATTATTGAAAAAGGCATTTTATAATGATGCAGTGTTGGACAACATCAAAGTTCAGCCCTGCCCTGTTCTCTTTTTTTTAACAAATGATACCTACCACAAAGACTATGTCAGTTTGACATGATGTAGTTTTGATTCCTGTTGTTGAAACTCCAGCAGAGCAGGTGCTTTTATGAAAAAGATCTGAAAACTGATTATAGAGGGGGGAAGCATCAGGAATTTTAGAATTTCAAAATGAAAAACCCTTTATTTTATACAATACTCTCTTCTAGTTAATAAAATAATTATTCAATACAAAACTAATTTATTATTATTATTAGGAAAACTGTTATTTATTAATTTTTTAAAATAAAAATGCTCTTACCCAAATTTGAATCTCTCCCTCCGTCATATTAGAGCCTTTCACCTCCACAAGCATCCAGTAGTATGATGCTGTGACGTAAGAAGAGAGATATTATTACACATCCCCAGGAATCACCACTTTTAATCTAAATGATGTCTTCTAAGAATAAAATAGGCTTTGTCTAAAAATGTTTTCTTTCTTACATTCATTAGCGCAGGACTGGGAAAAGTTACACTGTACTGCAAATGGCTCTGAAACAAATGAAAAGACACATCAAAGCATTGAACCATTAGGATTCATTTTATAATGTATAAATTATGTAATATGTGGCAGAATGAGAGAATGAAGGTAAGGAATTTAATTTAATATCCTGTAATTATCACCGAAATAGAAGCCATCTGTCTTTTTCCAAGAAAGAAGAAAAAAGACATAATCAGAACACAGTGATATTAGCCATACCTGTGAATAATACATTGGACGTCATTGTTCGTAGAACCGCTGTCTGATTGGTTACTTGAGCCACGACAGTTGGTGCAGCAGAAGAGCTTGCTGTCGTATGATTGACTGTTGTTTCAAAAGTACCAATTGGATGGCTAATGTGATTGCTTGAAAGTGTCTGGGCAGATATTGAAGTGCTCTGTGTAGTTTGAGTGGTTATGTAAGACATAGGTGAGGCTGGAGTTGGAGGT